TGCAGATTGCACTATGATGTTGCTGCTCAGTGGTAATGCTAGATGCTGTTTTCTAGCACCCCAAGAATAATGCATCCGAGTGGCTTTTCTTTTTAGGGGGAGATCCATAGGGGAATGAGCAAAATGGGAAATTTTTCTAAATATTATAGAGTGATATACTCTCAGAGTCCTTTTATTTTTGTTAATAACAACAACAACAAAGGCTTGAACTCAGGACCTCATGCTATCACTTGACTTTTTCAGCTTTTTCCAGGCTGGTTGATGCTCTACCACTTGAACCATACCTTCACTTCTGGCTCTTTGCTGCTTAATTGGGGATAAGAATCTCACAGAACTGCTGGTCACAGTCTCCTAAGTAGCTAGGATTATAGGCTTGAGCCACTGGAGCACGACTTCACGGTCCTTTTAGGATAGATATGGAGCTACAACACCTCTGCTTTTAGCCCTAGGGATAGCTTCTGAGATCTGCTCTGAGTGTAGCCCAGGGTAGCCTAATGTAGCACTCTTAAGAGTGGGGCTAGGGCTGGGAAGGTGGCTCAGTGGTAGAGTGCTTGCCTTGCATGCATGAGGCCCTGGGTTGATTCCTCAGACCACATAAGCAGAAAAGCCAGAAGCGGTGCTGTGGCTCAAGTGGTAGAGCACTAGCTTTGAGCTGAAGAGCTGAGGGACAGCGCCCAGGCCCAGAGTTCAGACCCCATGGCCGACAAAAAAAAAGAGTAGGGCCAGTTCCTTATACTTACCTGTACTGTTCATGGGTTTGGGCCCAGTTGCTGTTGAGCCCCCAAGGAATTGCTGGCCCTTGTTACCCAACAGATTCTGGGAAGTGAACGTTAGATCAGATGTCTACTTAATTTCTATATCTGAGTCTCCTGCTGTCCTTCCCCTTCCTCTTTCTGGACAGTCTAAACCCCAGGAAGGACCAGTCTTCCAGTTAAACCAACACTTCTTGAAGGAGGAATGCCAGAGGAATGCTGTGGAATAAAGTACTCACTGCCTTCAAGGGGCTTGCCCTGTGGATCATTATTCCGAGTCTTGTGACACCCTAGGAGGACTTGATAGTATCCTAATTTCTCAGTGACTTTCCTTCCCAATGCTGTTTCCCCATGGTAAACTTTCTGCCTTCCCAGCCCCAGAAGGTAGATGAGGAAGGAGTTGATGTCTTCTTCTAGGGTTTACTGCTGCAGAGGTTGGTCTGTCATACTGCTTCTCCAGTCCCTCAGAGTGCCTTTTTTGATCTGCTACACTTCTCTCCTTCTCCACAGAGCTGCCAAAGGAGTCCGTGGAGAGCCAAGCTCTGATCTCATCTCCCAGTCATACATCATTAATTGTGCCTCCTTGTTCTCAGGAAATGGTAGCTCCTCCGAGAGTCCAGTATGACATGTCCACCTTTGCATCCACCTACTGTTCTCAGCTACAACAGAGAGACATGAAACCATGTACATTTCCCACTTGCTCTTACCATTCCCTCAGTTTCCCTACCCTTGCACATCTTTCCAGTCTTAGCGGAACATCACCATATCTGTCAGCCGTCTCTGGTTCAGGGACATTTCCCTGAACTCCCCAGAGTGCTTTCTTGAATCCACCACACTCTTTACTTTCAGTCCTCCTCCAACAGAGTAGAAATCTTCCCTCCCCATTCAAATGATAGGGACCTGGGTGACCCAATTATCGCATAGTTTTGTGCAGACCAAGATGTGGGCCCAGTTTGATATGTGTCACCCCCAGCTTTACTGCCTGCCTGGGTGATCAGAAAGGTACTTTGTCAAGTCTTGGAATAAACCTAAGCTCCAGACCTCTGCCTTCATCTTCTTTGTTCCCCAACTCCCAGGTACCGGTAACCATGAGATCGCTGCAGCTGCTCAGAGTCCCTTTCCTGTGTGGCCTGCTCTGGGCCTTTTGTGGGCCATGTACCAGGGCTCAGGAGCCTGGGGTTGGTGTCCCCCATCCTGGCAGCGTGGGCCTGGATAAGAACACAGTGCATGACCAAGAGTACGTATTCAGCGGGGACAGGGGTCTGGGAATCTGCCGTCACCTACAGCTGCAGCAGAAATGTGGGCACACTCAGTCCTCTCCATTACTCCTGTTTATGTGGCCCTTGGACATGTTTCACGATGACATTCACTCCTAAGAGCCTCGTAGTAAGGTATTCTTCGTTCTTGTATCACAAGCGGAGGATCCTGAGGTTCTGATAGGATAAATTACTTGTCTGAAGTCAGTCTTTGTCTTTCATCCCACCAGATAGACACATGTACAGTTAGGCATACTCACAGATATAGTGGAAGTAGCCTTAATCCAGATTATAATGAAAGGTTTCTTGACAAGGTATTGACAAGACCTTTTTGTTGTTTTTGTTGTTGTTGGTGGTGGTTTGGGGCTGAAACTCAAAGCCTGAGCTTTTTTCACTCAGGGCTAGTGCTCTACTGCTTTGAGTCACAGTGATACATTTTAAGTCCTAGATTCAAGCACTAACACAGTTATAGTTTCTGTCTTTAACTGGTAAGTCTCCCACATGAACTTTGTTTTCCTGAAATTGTTTTTTTTTTCAATCTTTTACAATTGCTGGCCTAACAGCAATACAGTAAAATTCTAATAATGAAGAGGAAAGCAAATGAACAAACACCCTAACCTGCCAGTGAAACAAATGAATTGGTTAGCATTGATCCCTCTCCTTTCATGGCTCTGTTTATACGTGTCACCCTTGATTGTGGTTTGCCAGGGTTCTCTAAGTTGGATGAAATTGATCTTGGAACTTTTAGCATCCTTACAGTTTTTGCATAATCTGGCTGTTGGTTTTTAGGCATATCATGGAGCATCTAGAAGGTGTCATCAACAAACCAGAGGCGGAGATGTCCCCACAAGAACTTCAGCTTCATTATTTTAAAATGCACGATTATGATGGCAATAATTTGCTTGACGGCTTAGAGCTCTCCACAGCCATCACGCATGTTCATAAGGAGGTAGGTCAGGTAGTGGCTTGTTGGGCCGATCTGGGAAAACCTTTGGTGGTTTGTTCCTGTCTTGATGACATGTTCTTATTTTGTGTCTCAGTTGTGCTGCTTTCTGCTCTCTGCTCACTACTTTGTCATGCTGCTTCTTGTTCACTCTCCTTTCCCTCAGGGTGAGCTGCCGAGCCAAAGCCCCAGGGCCAGGCACATGTATTTTCAGTGCTTTAGTATTTCTGCCATACACCAGAATCTGAGAGCCAAGACCTGGAAAGACATGTTCCCTTTTCAATGCAGAGCAGGGGAAATAGAAGCTATTTTATTTGAGAAGAACAGCAAACCAGAGGACCTTGGCAATAGTTTTGGTTTGTGTCATACAAGTCAGTTAGAGATCTTGCCAGCTCTTAGGGGCAAGCACCTTTATTGCTTCTGTATTCATGATGAAAAGACTAAAATCCTTACCCTTAATCCTCCAGATTTAATGCCATCTCTGGTGATAAAGGTGTGATCACTTGGGCTGCCAGGAGTGCAGGTTGAAGTTTGCTGTGAGGGTGCCAGCAGTTTTGCCTGGGAAAAGGACATTTTTGTGGGCGGATCCTGTGCTGTGGGAGGCAGATTGATGGAGAGGAGAGAGAGGAGTTGGGGTCCAGCAATCCTGCCTGGTGAGGATGGTGATGGCATAGAGAAGAAACAGGGAATATGGGAGAGGTGGTGAAGGAAGAACCAGCCAAGAGGGTGAATGGCTCAGCTGCTGTTGTGAGCTTTGCTATACCTGCTTCTGAAGCAGGATAATAGTTTCAGAGATCATAACAGGTTCTGCTGTTTGGCAATGCCTATTTCCTCTTGTTCTGCTCTCAAGATGTCACCCAATATTTCACTGTTTTCACTTTACGAGACAAACAGTGCATTAAGCTGAGCTTGGGGGGGGGCGTTGGGTGGTGGGCTTTTCTCTAGCATGGGCGGTGTATTGCTCATAGAATCTGAACCTCAGTTCAGTGTAAGTCTATAATGAACATAAAATATTTTTACAACTTGAAATGAACAAATTGTCTGTCTGTCTGTCTGTCTATCATTTTTGTAGTGCTCGTCATGGTACTAGGTTTGGGCACTGTCCCTAAGCATTTTTTTGCTCAAGGCTAGCAATCTATCACACGAGCCACTTCCTACATATTGGTGGTTAATTGGAGATAAGAGTCTCACAGACTTTCCTGCCTTTGCTTTGAACCAAGATCCTTAGATTTCAGTCTCCTGAGTAGCAAGGATTACAACCATGAGCCTCTGATGCCTGGCTACAAATAGTTTTGTTTTAATTTTGCTGGTTCTGGGTCTTGAACTCAGGGCCTGGGCATTGTCCCTGGCTTCTTTTGCTCAAGGCTAATGCTCTACCACAGCTCTATTTCCAGCAGACTTTCCTGCCTGGAATTGCAATCCTCAGATCTCATTCTCTGGAGTAGCTATGATTACAGGTACAAGCCCCAGTGCCTGACTTAAATAGTATTTTTTAAACAAACAAACAAGGGCCTGCTTTGATTGCATCTTTTAGCTGGGAAGTATAATTTCTATATTGGATTATTATAAATTATTCTGTATCTAATTTATATATCTAATTTGTTGATTCCTAGAAGTAGCCATGTGTTATGTTAAAAAGTGTGGTTTTATTTTTATTTATTTATTTTTTTATATCAGTTATGGGGCTTGAACTATGGGCTTGGGTGCTGTCCCAAGTTGTCTTCAGCTCAAGGCTAGTGCTCTGCCACTTGAGCCACAGTGCTACTTCTGGTTTTTCTGGTGGCTAATTAGAGATAAGAGTCTAACAGACTTTCCTGCCTGGGATGGCTTTGAACTGTGATCCTCAGAACTCAGCCTCCAGAGTAGCTAGGATTATAGGTGGGAGCCACCAGCACCTGGCTTAAAAAGTTTTGTTTTTTTTTTCAGGTTTTTACAGTTTATTAATCCCTTAGTGAAAAATTCGTCACTGCTGCAGGTCAAGTCAATGCAGGATCTTTATTCCTTTGGCTTCTTGCCAGCTCCAACATTGGCCTTTGCAGTCCCTCTGACTTTCTTCATTCTGTTTTTGCGTTCCTTTTGCTGTTTCCTTGAAGTCTTCTTCTTTTCATACAGGCCATGTCTTGCAAGTCTGTGTTTGGGCTCATTTTTCTTTGCATAATCCAAAGAATCATAAATCATGCCAAAGCCAGTTGTTTTGCCACCACCAAAATGGGTTCTGAATCCAAATACAAAGATGACATCAGGTGTGGTCTTGTACATTTTGGCAAGTTTTTCCCAAATTTCTGTCTTAGGTACTGTTGCCTTTCCAGGGTGAAGGACATCAATGACCATCTGCTTCCTCTGAAGTAGTCGGTTGGTCATGAACTTCCTGGTCCGGATAGTTACTGTGTCATTCATGATGGCGGCAGACCTTCAGACAGCCAGGGAGAAAAGGGCTTAAAAAGTTTTTTGACATGTATAAGCATGGATATTTTGGATATTAGCTACTTCTTCCAGTCATGTGCAACTCATCATTGTCTAATTTATTTATAGGAGGGGAGTGAGCAGGCACCACCAATGAGCGAAGATGAACTAATCAACATAATAGATGGTGTTTTGAGAGACGATGACAAAAATAATGATGGCTACATTGACTATGCTGAATTTGCAAAATCTCTGCAGTAGGTGTTATTTGGCCATCTCCTAGTTAGATGCAAATGTGACCCATGATAATGTGATTGAACACTTCTGATAATGCAAAAGAAAGCATTTCCAACTACTGCTACAAAATTTTGGTAAAATCAGGTAATGATCTGTTACACTGGGGTGAAAAGGAGAAAACAAGAGAAGTAAAAGAGGAGAAATTCTCGGGACATGCTGTAGTCCCTAAGTGCTGTCAAAAGTCATATTGGACAAGGGATTGATGAAAGAATTCTTTTTAAAGAGTGTTGGATAATTGGAGCCAAGCTCAGGAATTTGACTGTAGAATACCACTTGTTTCTTGATTTCAGTTCATGCTACCTAAAAAGTAAGACACTAATTAAGTTTTGCCAAATGGACAGCCTTTTCAGTAACAATCGAAGGACGGAGTGAATGCCAGATGTTTCTCCTGGCAGGTCGTGCCTCTTTAGGTAAATGTGGTCAGTGTTTTATGACGATATCTTGGCTGCATGGTAGGTAGTTGCTCTAGACAAGTCGCTCTGTTTAGGCTCTGTTTAGGCTGTATCAAAGTCACAGCCTAAAAAAAGAATGTTAAATATTGAATTCATCTGGCTACACTAAGATTCTGTGTCTTCTGACATTTTGAAAATATTTGCTGGCCCAAGTGATTAATCTCTTTCAGATTTTCAGTATTTTATACAACTACTTACCTTCTATTGTCTTCAGCCTAGGAGACTCTGAATTTAAAAATGCTCTCGTCAGTAGCAAATATTCTAGCTTTGTTAATATTTGTACTTTGCTTTTGTTTTGAGTTTCCTTTTTGGAATTTAAGAACTATTAGTACTGTAAGGACTTGGCACAACAGGTTTTTTTTGTGTGTGTGTGTGTGTGTGTGTGTGTGTGTGTGTGTGTTTGGTCGGCTGTGGAGCTTGAACTCTGGGCCTGGGTGCTGCCCCTCAGTTCTTCAGCTCAAGGCTAGTGCTCTACCACTTGAGCTATAGCGTTACTTCTGGTTTTCTGGTGGTTTATTGGAGATGAGTCTCACGGAGTTTCCTGACCGGGCTGGCTTTGAACCGCGATCCTCAGATCTCAGCTTTCTAAGTAGCTAGGACTACAGACATGAGCCATTGGCACCCAGCAATGCAACAGGTTTGAACTAGCAGCTGGCCCAACCTAAGTGATGAGTAAAAAGCTCATCTGCCACACATGGAGACTTAACTTGATCCAAGTTCTATTTTCAAGGAAAGTTGTTTGAATTACCTCTGAATTACATGCATTCTTTCATTCCAAGAAAGACTAGCAAACCCCTAACTAAAACCACTCAAAGAGTGAATCTTGGTAGTGTTTGAAAGTGAGAAGAAGCCACGCATTGTAATTTAGTTTGTTGGCCATGATAGATGTGCTATGATAGCAAATTACCAAAGTGGAGCTTGAAAGGGGAAAAGAATTTGCTGTAAGATGTATAGAGACTTATTTTCTTTATTAAACTATTCTTGTGGGCTGGGAATGTGGTTTAGTGGTAGAGTGCCTTGCATGCATGAAGCCCTGGGTTTGATTCCTCAGTACCACATAAACAGAAAAAGCTGGAAGTGGTGCTGTGGCTCAAGTAGTAGAATGCTAGTCTTGAGCAACAGAAGCTTAGGGACAATGCCCACGCCCTGAGTTCAGGACTGGCCAAAAACCAAAAACCAAAAAACCTATTCTTGGGGGAGGGAAGGGATAATGGGAGAACAACAAGGCAAAGGTTAACAATGCTCGACAAGAAATGTAGTCATCGCCTTACTCGTGTAACTGTAACCCCTCTGTATAGCATCTTTACAATAAAATAAAATTTTAAAAAAAAACAAAAAAGTTTTATTTAAAAAAACTATTCTTGTAAGAAACATATTTGTAAAAATCGTTTCCTGTGTCCAGTATTTGTGCGATCAAAGCTGACTTGTAAACTATTCTTATACTGTCTCATTATTTTGAAAGATTTATATAATGTATTCTGGATGTCTAACTAATAAAGCTGATGGAAAAGGAAACGGTTGATTTTGTCTAGGCTTTTTCTCGCAGCATGTGAAGAGCTGACTCATTTAATACAGATGCTACAGGCTTTGTGACTGTCCTTGGTTATATTTCTGCTGCCTTTTTGCAGGGCAGCTTCTCAATATTCAGACACTTTCTCTTTTTAAGCTTTTTTTTTTTTTCCTTCTGAGTGAAATCATTTTTGAATCTCTCTTTTCCAGCCAAATTTAGAGTATGACAGCATTCTCTCGTCTGGGAGAATACAGTGTTTTTCCTTTGAGTCTGGTAACTTTCTTTGCCAGAAAATTCAAGTAGATAGCATTATTGGAAACATCTCAGGCCCAAGCACAAAAGCACAGTCTCCCTGCCATTCTTGGAATGACACTTCGCTTTGCCTGTTGAAAAGGAAATTTGGGTTGCCTTTTAGTTTGTTGGTTTTTTGTTTTTTAATCTCCCAAGACCCTTGAACTTTGTACTGGTCCTTCCTATTTCCAGATCTTCCCATGTGGGATGGAGTGAGAAAGGTAGCTGAGAGAAGAAGAGAAACAAGTCTCTCAGGATAGAATCATCCCCATTAAAACAGGCAAGATAGAACCCCTTTCTTCCTAGCTGGCTATTCTGTGAACCTGCCCTTCCGCATGAAAATTCCCCGCTGGGAGAGGGGTCAGACATAAGCACAGTTTGTCTCCCTGCACACAGCACACACGCTCACATCGCCTGTGCAGGGATGCAGGGCTCCAACCTCACCACCTGCCTCAATGAATGTGCATTCAGTGCATTCTTTTACAAGGAGATACTGTGCCCAAAAGGGGGATGGGAAACCTGATGTTACTAAGCAGCATGAGCTCTGGACTCTGGCATGCCTGCTTGGAAATCCTGGACTTTCTACTCCTTGCTTGTGAAGTCCCTAAACTTTAATTTCTCACCTAAAAGAAAATCACTAATAACAAGGTGCACCTGGTGCAGGGTTGTATGGAGCAGGTGTTAACTGCTTAGTTACCTGTGTCCCAGTTACCAGAGGAGAGCTGCTTTTTCACTGAAGAGAGGAAATGCAGACTGTTATGGCTCCTCTTGGGAGAATTAAAGAATTGAAGGGTCTCCTCCATAAATTCTTCCATATAAAGAGGGTGGGAGAGGGGCTGGGAAGGTGGCTCAGTGGTAGAGCGCTTGCCTTGCATGCATGAGGCCTTGGGTTCCATTCCTCAGCACCACATAAGCAAAGAAAGAAAAAAGCCAGAAGTGCGCTGTGGCTCAAGTGGTAGAGCGCTAGCCTTGAGCTGAAGAGCTGAAGGACAGTGCCCAGACCCAGAGTTCAGGCCCCACGACTGGACCCCCCCCCCAAAAAAAAAAGAGGGTGGGAGCCAGTGAGTGCTCTGGGGAGAAGCTCAAGGTCCTGTCAGGTGCAGTCAGGAAAGATAGTATTGATAGATAAATCTGACCAAAGGAGACCCTATCTCTATTCATTTGTCCCCTGACAGGGACAGGTAGCTTCCCTGGGCCATCTTCAACTAATCCTCTTTTTTTTGTTGTTGTTGTTGGTCATGAGGCTTGAACCCTGGGCCTGGGCACTGTCCCTGAGCTCTTCAGCTCAAGGCAAGTACTCTACCACTTGAGCCACCGCACCACTTCCAGCCTTTTCTGTTTATGTGGTGCTGAGGAATCGAACCCAGGGCCTCATGCATGTGAGGTAAGCACTCTACCACTGAGCCACATTTCCAGCCCCAACAGCTAACCCTTTTGAAGAAGGGGAAACAGACCCTCCCACAGCTCCTTCAGTACACAGAAAGCCCTAGGCCACCAGCAGTAGTACCACCTTTGTCCCCTCGTTAGAAAGATATAGAAAAAAAGGAGAAGGTGAGGTGCCAGAGAATTTGTGGGACCATGGAGCTGGAGACCATTCGTGATAGCTGCTTCCACATTTGCTTTTTTGTGTTTTGAATGTTCAGTAACCGCTATTCCCCAGTGGCGTTGTGGACAGGTTTAAGATGGATTTATTTTTCAAGACAATGACAAAAACAAGATGACAAAGTAAAGACATCTGTATCTCAAGTTGTAGAAATCCCTTAAGAGCAACAACCCTCCCCCCATCTTCAATATTCCCAGCTGTGAGGGGGGACAGTGAGGCAAAAGTAGGGCATCGAAGGAGGCAAGTTCTTTTGCCCCTCAAAAAATGAGCCACCCTATGCTCATACGCCAAGGCAGGTGGACATGAAATGGGGAGCCCATGGCAGGAGTTCTTGGAAGCCGTGTAAAAGGGGGAGCTCGCCCATTGCTCTGACTTTTGCATCCCAGCTTCTCAGAACACTGACTCTGCCCTGAAGGAGTTGAACCAGGGGAGGTCTTGGCTTGGAAAACCAAGTAGAGGGAAGTGGGGGCTGAGGAGCTATGGGGAAAAGAAACAAGAAAACAAAAGCCAGAACTGCATGTGACCAATAGCTCCACCAGGCCAGTGGCTAGGTTTATGTGCCCTGGAAATGAGGTCCATCGAAAGAGCAAGTATTGAATGCAGGGTTTTCATACAAAATCAACCTTGGGCACTTAAACATCTTTCCATAGCACTGGGAGGTTGGGCCAAGGACATGAAAACCACACCTGCTAAGAGGAAAGGGTCCCACTAGCCAGGGAAGAGGAGGAGAGTTCAAGGACATCTTTGTATCCCAGGAGGGATGAGAGGATGTGGGTCCTGTCCAGGCAGCTGGAATCCCACAGGGCTACCCTAGAGAATGTGGCGGAGGCAGGGGGCAGGGGCAATGGCTGCGGCTGATACTTACTAAGAACACAGATCCAACAGGCCTCCAGGTCAAGATGACTTGATCTGGAGAAAAACCTGGAGCTGTTTGTATGTAAGGGACAGTAAGAACCTATCCATCGATAAACTGTGTGCTGAGAGGTGTGAGGTTCATAAAAATAAGCAGATATAAGTTACTAGGTACATGGTGAGCGGTACACAACACAGGAGGACCAGGTAGCTATGTTCCACTTGCTTGCCTGTCTCTTACACCTGCAGCCCTGACGTGGGGTAGTGAACCCCTCTGTCTTCTCTTGTTCCCTGGACAATGCCCTTCTCCAGTACACAGCAGGATCTGGGTCCACAATATCAATCCTTGTCCCTCTTTGAATGCCAAAGAGTGAGATTTAATTGTTTTTACATTATTTACATAAGTTACATAAGTCAGGTAATGAGTACATTTCTTCTTGGACAATGTCTCCCCTTTCCTCACTCTCTCCCAGTTTCTTCCCTCCAGTCCCCACCCACAAGTTGTATAGTTTCACTTTCAACAGTTCTAGTGAGTACTACTGTGAAGGTGAGATTTTTTTATTAACCACTCAGGGGACTATTAGAATCCCTTCCTTAGCACTTACTACCACTTTTATCATTTACAAATTGACCAGTAGATGGCAGCAGTGTCTCACAGAATGTCCTTTCCTAGCCATCCCACTTAAGTTGTCAATTTTTTTTTTTTTTAAATCACATTTCTTTGTCACTCCTGGAAACTCCAAGCTCATTTCCTCCTTCCATCTGTCCCCCTACAGCTCTAGTGTATTTCCAAGGATTTCATAACTATGTGTTTTTTTCCCTCTGATAGGCTGTGCTGAGCATAAGGTGGAAGAGCAAGATTAGGTAGGTAGACTGCCCTAGATCACATATAAAAATCATCTTGACCTGCTTGAGTGGAAAGTTCAGTTTCTAAATTTGTCAAGTGCTTACTATGTGTCGTTTCTCACACTGTTCCTGTCACAGACTTGTGGCATTCTATCAAGAAAGAGGGTAGACTTTGGAGAAAGAAAAAAGATCTTGGAATTGGCTAGTCATGCCCCAGGAACTCCTAAATCTGCAACAAACAGAGCAGAAAAACTATTATATATGTGTGTGTGTGTGTGTGTGTGTGTGTGTGTGTGTGTGTGTGTGTGTGTGTGTGGATA